AAGTCGCAAAGTATTTGCCAAACGTAAAGGTTTTAGACCTGTCTTCTAATCCAGCCCAACTGCTGTTGATCCAGAATACTGTTGGTATACTTAAACATATGGTGGCGCTGCAATATCTTAAACTTAACGAACTTTCTGAGGTCAGCAACACTGCGCGGGAAATTCAGATACCTGAATGTACCTTCGATGGATTGCCGAACCTTACCAACTTGGAACTCAATGGCAATCGTCTCAGCAAAATTCCCTCTGCAATCAAGTCTCTGAAAAACCTGAAGTACATCAGTTTGCGCATGAACTCCATTCAGAGTGTTGGCGGTGATGATTTTCATCAACCATCTCCTCTGGAAATTCTTCGTCTTGATAAAAATAAGCTGGTGGAGATACCTGTCTCTGCATTAGCCCAGCTCCCACATCTGACAGAATTGTACTTGGACTTCAACTCAATATCGACGATCCCAGCCCGGGCATTTTGGCACAACCCTCGCCTGACCAACTTGTCCCTTGCCTACACAAATTTGACAATCATCCACAAGGACGCCTTTTTTGGGCTCAATCAGCTTGGCCCTCTTAACTTACAAGGCAACAATCTGACTACGATAGAGGGCGGAGTCATGACCCATGTCAATCCTAAGGTAAAACTACAGCTGTCTGGAAATCCTCTTCGGTGTGACTGCAACCTGCGTGGATTTGCGTCCTGGCTTAAGGATATTCATATCGGGTCTCTTAACAAAGGTAAACGTCTTCATTGTGTTGCACCGGACGGTATGAGAGAAACGTCATTGACAGATCTTTGTCTCAATCAGTTTGCTTGCGAGCCACATCTGACTTCCGATTCTGACACAACTATATCAGTACTACCGGGCACCGAAGTCTCTTTACCGTGTCCAATTGAAGCAGATCCCATGCTGCATACCTTTTGGATAACCAGAAATCACATACTAATCCAACCAGACCAGCCTCGGCCGCCTTTCGCCATTGCCGAGAACGGTTCGCTGTCGATAACTAGAGTCGACCTCTCTCATGAGGGCCTCTACACATGCGTAGTAAGCAACGCTGCCGGGACAGGTCAATACTCTGTCCAGCTTCACGTGCAATACACATGGTATGCGTTGATGACGTCTTGGTCGGCTATCATCAGCGTAATCTCAGGCCTGATCTTTTTTGTTTGTATCGGGTACCACAACAAATAAATTCCCATAGACAGCAGTGATAAATTCCCATACTTCACAAATATTTTAAAAATACAACTCTCACAGGTGTTCAGGCTGCTCGGAAAAATGATGTTTCACATATCCTCTTTCATTTTCCTTTCAAGTTTTAGTGGATTGGCCGATGATTTTTTGAGAAATTCTCACCCAAAGCAGACCATCCCTAAACCAAAGGAAATTTCACTGCCCGGGAAAGTAGCCATTTTGAAAATGCATCCCTCTGCAAAATGGCTCAAATAGTGCCACTTTCGGACCCGATTGCATCCAAATTGCTCAGAATTGGAAGCCCTGAGTCCGGCCCAGAGGTTCAGTGGCATATTTCTTACAATCCCCAGTTCCATGGCTCTCAGGACCCTCTAATATGGAATACTTTGAGTGTATAACTTTTATTAATGAGCTCAGCGACATATTTCTGGCCTCTTTGCAAGGGTGCACCCTGTAGAGAACACAGTAGACCCAGGCCAAATGAAAATGAGTTGTACGTTGGTCCAGTTGAGGTGGACTCTAGTTCAGACAGTGACAATTAGAATAGACGTTTCTCAACATGCAACGACCTGTACTAGAGGAAAGATAGCGGTTGTTGCTCATACCTTCCTTATTGGCTAAATTTTTGAACAATTGAAAGCAAAACGAAAACAGTGTTTAAAATGCAAATAATCTCCCCCTGCTTCATCATTGCTTGTACACGTAATTACGCCTCATTCCTAATTTTCTATAAGCAAAGCAGAGGAGAAATTTAAAGCTGGAAACAGAAAATCTTGTCTTTGCCTCGGTTGCCCTATACTGTTTCTCTCAGACGCTAAATAATATTTACAGCGATGAAGAGATACGGACTTTGCTTCTCGCCTTCAGTTTAGAAGATTTGGTGGACTCTCGTCGTGCCTTTACATACACAGGTTTAATCTATGTACTCACAGACAGTCATGAAATCTATATCTACAGTTATTTTAATGCATCATCATTAAAGGCGATCATACGAAACAGAATAGATATTGTTAGTTACAACATAGTTCATCATGTGGTGAGTGATTTTCGTTGCATTTTGTGTGTAACTCTTCGGGAGAGTTGTACATGTATACTTTTACTGAAACTTTGGGAAATCTGATGGTGTGGCGTTGTCATAGAAACCGCTGTGTGTACATGTACCTGAAGGCTGTACATACCTTGCTGTATTGCGCATGTACATGTACGTATGGACAGCATATGTGCGCACGATACCTGTGCAGGGTACGACGGTCATCTTTGCTGTGTGCGCACACCTTTTTCAATAATTATAGGGTTTCCGTATTATTTCTCTATTTATTACAGGCAGAATGTATATGTACATGCAGTACTAATAGGAGTCATCCGGTCCCTGCACCTCGGGATATTTTGGGTTTGGATTTTTCGTTGGGATCTTTGTGAGGTTTTTCTCCTTGAAGTTACCTCAACCTACTCATCATAATTCTGCTTCATGGCTGTGGTTTCTATCATTCCACCTTGATTTCGCCTTGATTGCTGAATAAACTTGTCTGTGAGGCAACAAATCAAGATTTTCTCCGATTGACTGAATCATTGCCTGGTCAACTCGTACATTCATCCCAATCAACTTTGGGGTCAGCCGTGCTGGCTGTGACACCACAGTCCCATTTCACTACAATGATTTGTACAAAGAACCGCCGTTTGACGTCCTGAAAGAAAGTCAAGATGAGGCTAACACATGCGAGTTTAGGCTAACTTAACCTTCTTGGATTAGGGCTCAACTTAATTAGGTATTCTCAACAAATCTCTTAACCCGGATGATAATCTGGATGAACTAATCTGAAGTTAACGCACATGAAGTTATCTGAAGTGACTACGTCTTTACATTGTAGAGTGCTTACTTGTTATGTTATTATATCGTTGGCATATAACGAGGATGAGAGATTGGACTGACGTCATACATTCGCCTTGCTGGCGATTTAGAGGACTCTTTCAATCCCCTACTTCCCATAACGTTTACAAAACCCCACGAATTTAGCTTCATCCCAATAGAAGGCCATACACGGGGTTACATAATTAATTCCCAAACTTTTTGCGCCCCCCCCGGAAAATTTGGATCCGGGTTAGTGCTTACATTCCATATGGGTGCCTCTTCAAGGCACAATCTTCCCAGAAATTAGGCGTGTCCAAAATTTATGTCAACGGATACAGCAATCCACCTCCACAAGTTACTGGCAAAATTGAAAGTAGTGGCCGTCAAAATGCGTATTAAGGCTAAAACATGGCTGGGCACCTAAGATGTCTGGCCGCAAAGGATTTGGGGATATGTCAAAGCACGGACCATTGCGACATGGCCTGTATACTCTCTTGCTCAATTACCCTTGCTAATGGGGTTTCAGAGATTGAGAATTTGAGGGAAAAAACCTGATGGCAGATGCAAATCAATGAAAAGATATCATAAATGCAAAACCAGGATGGTAAAAGTTTGAAGTAAAAAGTTTCCCAGATTCACTGTTACTAAGGCCACAGGAACTTTTTTGAATTGATGTTAATGAACCAAGAACGTTCGCCNTTTGTCTTTATTACGTTTATATGTCATCAAATTATATCAGAGTCTTTATAGTAGGAATAATTATGATGTTAATGAACCAAGAATGTTCGTCTTTGTCTTTATTACGTTCATATGTCATCAAACTGTATCAGAGTCTTTATAGTAAGAATGATTATTCCCCAGACTAGGAATAAAAAGTCAGGAATTCCATGCATACATAAATTTGAGCTGGAAATTGGGGGGATTGGTCGTGGGGAATTGTGAGGGCGATGACTTGTCTGGCCGTGGAAATTCGAAAGGGGGGTTGACACCATATGACACTATATAGGGGCGATGTTTATGATATAAATGTATTCATACAGAATCAAAATGGCATATTTTGGGCAACGGCCGAAACAGCTCCAGTTATTTTTCTTATAGGCCTACTTTTCCCCCTTTTGAGTGCTATTGAAGGTATTATATGGTTGTTTGGAAGTCCGAAAAATTTCTCACAATCCGCTTTAATACTTTTTTTCACCACGAAGGGGGGGGGGTAATTCAATAAGACCACCCCCTGCCAAAATGTTTTAGGGATAGATACCCTATTCCTCCGGGATTTACACCCATGGCGACTGGAGTTAATGAGCCTTTCGTCTCAAAGCCTCACTGAAAGGGCCTGAGAGACACTCATCAACTACAAATATAAGTTTCTTTAAGCTCAACTGGTGCTTTTTTGGGAAATATTTTCGGTGATTAGAAGGGAGAATGTTTCCTTTCGTTTTCAGTAAATCTTGGTGCCTTCTCAAAATAGCTTGATGTCGGTTGGCCTGTTGGACCTCTTTTCAGGACAACCAAAAATGTTGACATGTTCGGAACGATGGGGTATATAGACTCTTGTACGAGTGGTGTTTTAAATTTATCGCAGAGGGTGAAGGGCGCATTAATGAGCTTTCTGGCTGGACTGGCTTCCAGCCGTTTTCAACTTCCTGCATAACAACTATGTGCGAATACCTCCATAAGTTCGTCTTTAGAGTGATAACTCTTAAGTGCCGATTTAGAGGGGCCTATCAACACCATCTTTTGGATATGGGCCAACAGCGAACTTGAACCAGCGAAATACCAGTCAACTCATTAACACAGGTTTTTTTTTCATTATGCATGCCACTCCAAGAGATATTACCAGAAAAGGAATGAAAAGAAAACATGGAATGAGGTGTGCAGTTTTTTGTTGGCCCCAAAACTACACATTTTCCTCCAGCGGTCGGTATTCTCGTGCAGCTATGAGCAGAGTTTGGCTGCCATTATTCTCATCAGCCCTTTTGACCTTGTATGCCGTCATGCATGCGAGCGGGGAAAACCATTTTGTGATTGCAAAACCACTGAAAGTACCACTCAGAATCACTTTGCACGCAACGTCGGCACGAAGTGCCTTATCCAGATGACGAGGACCTGTATATTGAAGTGCCCGAGAGACGTGGACTTGAACCCGCCGCACACAGCCAACGGATCATTACGGTAATTGATATCTCCACTTTTTTCTCTCTTGTTCGGCCGATGTTACGTCAACCATACTCTGGCTTACATAGACACTTGAAACTCCGCTGATCCAAAAGACCCCCTTTCATTTGTTGGAAGATACCGTGTTATTCACAGTTTTAGGACTCGGGACTTGGTAGAACTGAAAAATTGAGATCACCCTGTCCATGCCAGGTCTTAATTTGCCAAGTGAGGTGCAAACTGGCTATTTGGTGCAACAATTGTTCTTTATCCCTGACGATACTTAATGCATAACAAATTGGACAACCAATTTCACTGGTTCTGAATCTTAATTAGGTTTGAAAACAGTTATTTGGAAATGTGCTAAGCACATTTATACGTATAGTTATAGATGAAGGGAGACAGATGATGATGGAACCAAGCCTCCTGATATTTTTCATAGAAAAATCACTGGTATTGCAAAGACGGGAATATCATACAGGTATACAGTATTTCAGTTAAGCTAAGTAATAGGTTTGCGGAAGCACCATGCGAAATATCTCTTTATGAGTATGTGTGGTTTGGAAAAGAAATAACTCTCTCGTGTTAAAGGTAGAACGAACGATAATCCCCGTGGGAGCACTTGCGAAATGCAATAGAATTCACCCGAATTTAAAAGGGTCTCGTTTTGTTTCATCGAGAGAGCTATCATACAAGTTCGTGTCAATTATGAAATGTACCGTGTAATAATATTTTCCAGTGGTACTGTGGAGCTTTAATTCTCCAATTCATTCAGACATTTTTCTAGACCGATTTATAATAAAGATGTGTATTGTGAAATAAAACAGGTCTGTACGATTCAGATTAAGATAAAGAGTAGTTACTGTATTGATTTTCGAAGGCCAAAATGCTAAAATTAAAAACTGAATTTTTTGATAGTCGGTTCCGAGTGTTGTCTCATGCACATTACAAACAAGCGGAGTCGTTAAGTTACGTTTAATTATAGCATGGTACATGTATAATATTTGTTATTGTAAAGGCTTTTTAAATAGTCGTTCATATTATTTCTTTTATTTATCACTAGCTTTCCATCTTCGGATGCGCTTTGAAAAACCATAATGGCATCTGGTTCGATTCATCGTCGTGACCTGCATCTCATCATGGTGGTCACAGTGACGGTTCTTAGGACCTGTGCACCTTGCCCGAGTGTCTGTGATTGCCAACGTTACAGCACCCAAAAAGGAATAGACTGCGATGGTAAAGATCTGGACACAGTCCCCGCTGGAATACCTGCCGACACTCGTTTCCTTCGGCTGGAACACAACAGACTGACCAGGCTGCCAGCTGATGTCTTCTCTGGGCTCTCGCTGCTCATTCAACTGACACTCTACAACAATCAGATAGCTGATATTGAAGATGGCGCTTTTCGTGACCTGGTGAGGCTGAGAAAGTTACATCTTGAAAGTAACAACATCAGCCTGTTAACTAACCATACATTCGAGGGGGTCCCCAACTTGGAAGAGTTGATCCTGCGAAACAATCGCCTCTCGTCTTTACCCAGTGGTGTTTTCAGTCAGGTACATTCACTAGTGGAGCTGGATCTCGCTCATAATGGCATCAGAGATTTCCCAACCGATGTCTCCCAAGACTTACGCAACGTCCAGATGCTGGACCTATCTTCCAACCCGGCTGGCCTGATTTCGACGGCTATCTTCGAGCATATGGTGGCGTTGCAACAAATTAAGCTTAGCTCTCTTATTGGAATAAGTGAGATAGATCTTTCTGGATTGGCATTTGATGGATTAGGAAATCTCGTGACATTAAACCTCGATGGCAATCACTTGAACAAAGTCCCCACTGCAATCAGGTCTCTTTCCAACTTGACTTCCCTCGATATTCACTCCAATGCCATCGAAATGCTGAATGCGGATGATTTTTATCATCCCTCCCTTTTGGAATATCTCAATCTCAATGATAACCAGCTGACGGAGATACCTACCGCGGCATTGGCACAGTTGCCACATCTGACCACTGTGTTCTTGGACGGCAATCCAATCTCGGTGATCTCAGCCAGGGCATTCTGGCACAACCCTCGCCTGTCCATCCTATCCCTAGCTGACACCAATCTAACAACAATCGACGCTGATGCCTTTACTGGACTTAGTCAGCTTGGTACTCTTTACTTGCAAGGCAACAACTTGACTACCATAGTGAACGGAGCAATGAATAGTGTCAACCCCAATGTATATCTGCTGTTGACTGGCAATCCTCTCCGCTGTGACTGCAACCTGCGTGAATTTGCAGCGTGGCTGAAGAACAATCATACTGGAACACTAAGTGGAGGTAGTTCTCTTAAATGTGCTACACCTGACCGTTTGAGAAGTTCCCCGCTGGATGATCTTAATCCCAATCAATTTGCATGCGAACCACGTACAACTTTCCCCACAACAAAAGTTATCTCGGTCTTCATGGGTAAGGAAGTCCTTTTACCGTGCGAGATAGAGGCCGATCCAGTGGTGGATATCTTCTGGATAACCAGCAGTCATGCAACAGTCCATCCAGACCAGCCTCAGCCACCGTTCGCTTTGGCTGATAATGGTTCCCTATTTGTAAGCACCGTCAACCTCATTCATGAGGGACTCTACACATGCGTGGTCAGCAATGATGCTGGAGAAGTTCGAAATTCTGTCAAGCTTCGCGTACTGCGCTTACCTGATTTGGGAAGTAGGCAAACTCCAACCATAGAGCATGGAACACACACTCCAACTGATTCAAGTGACAGGTTGAACACATCAGCCACCATGATCGTCGGTGTTGTCTTTTCCGTCGCAGTAGTGTTTGTTGTAGTTATCGTGGGGGTGAGTATCTATAGGAAAAGGCGTCGGAAGGCAGCTACGGAATACTGGGAATCGTCCACAAGAACATTTGATTCAGAGGATGAGTTCAACGAACTTGGCTACCAAAGTGGAGGTTCATTACCGAGTGGTAATGCCCCTGAGCCTCCACAAAGGCCTGGTGCAGGAAATTTGACTGGGCCCGCAGGAGTTACTTATGTTAACGAAAGTCTGTCTGAATCATTAAGCCTTGATGAAAGTTACGAAACACGTATCACTCCAAACGAAGAAGCTCAGTGGCCTCTTTACGAAGAAATTGAGGACTCCAGAGACGATGAGAACTCAGAAGCATCATTGAAGCCCCAAGATAATACTGACGTTGATCAACAGGGCCATCAACACGAAGAGCTCGCAGCCAGTGTTAAACAGCAGCGTCCGGGCCTTGATGCAGTGGCTGA